GAAGGCAGTAATAGTGGGCATAGTGTTTTTTTTTTTTTTTGTATGTGTGTAATAATGTTTATCAGCCAAAAATTGTACCAAGTTGYAATTCTTTCTTTTGGATTCAATGGATTAACTTTAAATTATTTGAAGTTAAATATTACGGTGATCAAGATTTTATTTTGATCAAGATTTGCATATACAATTAAAATTAATACATATAAACTTACATTCCAGAAATTCTTAAACTCATATTTAATTTTAATTTTTTTTTTTTTTTGGTATTGGGAATTGAACCCTGGGGCATTTTACCACTGAGCTACATCCTCAGACTCTATGTTTTTGATCACAAAGAGAAAAGTAGGTTTTTCTCTCTTCATTTCTTTCTATTTATAAACTCTATTTAAGGATGCATAAGATGATATATTTCTTGTTCAATATATAAAAATGACAATTTTCCCACTTATTGGGTTAATTCTAAAAGGCTACAATTTAAGTCCAAAGATCTTGATACGCCATGAAAGAGTATATCTAAGGGAGGATAATTACAAGAATTGTGGAGGAATTTTGGAAAGCAAGAAACAATGAGGGGCTTGGGACAGATGTCCAAACACTCTGTCTGAGGTCAAGTGCCCTAGAAACAAAGCAAGGACAATGGTTTTTATTCAGGCATTTTTCTAGGAGGAGGAGATGTTTCTTGGAGAAAAATAGGACAGGGCAAAGGAAAAATGTGGATGGATCATGGGATTTCAGCTGGAAGTCGGCTGATCCCATGGGAGCAGACTTTGCACTAGCAAGTCACACCTGCTGTGAGGGGGTCTTTTCATACCCTCATGCCAACCAGTGGTGCCTGAGGTGTCCCCTGGTTGAGGGGAGGAGTGGTGCGTGGCTTCCAGGCAGGTGGGTCCCTTTAGCTGAGAGTCATTGGGCCCAGAAAAGGAAGCTCTGTACTATCAGCCTAAACAGCMACGGTGGCAGATGCAGGGTGATAGGTGTAGGGCTGGGAAAGAGACACGCACCACATTACTGGCTTGAAGAAGTAAATGCTACAATCAGCATCAGTAACAGCCATGCAGAGGTTGCACCAGGACTGTGAGTTATGGGGCAGGCAGGGAATCGTCAGAGCTCTGCTTCAGGGACTATTCTCTTTCCTTACTCAGAAGCACAGGGACTATTTTTATGGTTTTAATCATTAACATATTTTCTTCAACTGGGGCAGTTTTACAACCAGAAAGAAGAGACAGATAAAATAGAAGAGTAGTGGGAGCCCAAGGATTGGGGTTGTGAAGATTCTGACAGTTAGGCTCAGAGAGCATATGGAAGGGGTCTGGGGTGGGCTGGAGGGGCTTCAGTGTCCAGCAGGATGGAGCAGCTCCTGGTGCTGAAAATAGCTAGTGCCCGACCCCTGGAGTGGGCTGCCACAGGAGAGGCAAGGCCAGGTCAGGGAAGCGAGAGGCCATCCACATGGATGGTGCTGGTGGCACTCAGGGTGGACAGGGAGGCGGGGTGCACAGCACCCGTGGCCCTATGGTTCAGGAAGGGGCAATAGAAGTGTAACTCTCCAAGGGGACACTGGAGGCAAAGGAAGGAAGAAAGGCAGAGGGCAGATACCCGTCCCAAGGTACTAGTGGCTGTTCCCGGAGAAGACGTTGTGGGACATAGTTGTCCTCAGGGCAAGGCCAGGTTTCTCTGTGAGAGAGGGCCACAGAGGAAAGGCTTCAGAAAAGAACAGAGGGCGCCTGGACAGAGCTATGCAACGAGACAGAGAGGGCCACAGAGAAAGGACAGGGAAGACAAACTGATAGGGATGTTAAAATACGGAGCATTATTGTCAACGCAAGGATTTCATGCCGTTTTATAAAACTAACCTCTCCATTTCATTGGCATCCAGGGKTTATTTTATAACTAAGTGTTAACTCTTTCTACATCTTACTCATTTTGCATATTTCTTAGTGACACCTAGAAAACCCCTMCAAAGCTAGTTGCATACTGCATTGAGTTTACTAAAAAAAATGAAAGGAAACTGAGTATGGAGAGCGGCAACAGCAGGATCCACCCYTAAGGCTGCTCTTCTTCAGGCAACGGGGAGAGCCAGATGCCCTTGCTGTTGTTGTTTAGTAACAACCATAAACCTTCACACCCTACTGAGATCTAGACTAATCCAAATGCTGTTTCTTTTAATGAACTAGAAGAGCCAGTAGGGATGCCCCAGGGTTGGCAGGAAAAACTGGAATTYGGAGGTCTAATTTCCTATGAAGTTTTGTTCTTTAGTAATATTCTTTTCCTAAGATTAGGGAGGTTTTTGGATATTTACACATTATTGGTACTTAACACAGGGTGTGGTGCACTCTAGACCTAATAAGTATTTATTGAATGAATTGAAATAAGTGTTTTAAATTAATGGACAGAATACATGAGAACAAATGTGGTTTTGTGGTGTGTGTGTATGTGTGTGTGTGTGTGTGTGTGTGTGTGTGTGTGAATGAGAGCCACATGCTCCTTTTTCTGGTCCTTTTCTAGCAAGACATTTTTCATTTTCTTCTTTGCACATGGCATCCCAAAGTAATGCAACTGCAAAACTAGCTTCATCATGGAGAATGGCTTGTCAGGACACGACTCTGTTCATCTGTGGTAACTCAAGTATGCCTTTAATTCATGTCTTCATCAGACTATATAAACCAGTGGTTCCCAACCTTGGCTGCATAACCCAGTCACCTGGGGTGATACAAATGTGGATGCCTGCTTCCCATCCCAGAGATGCTAGCTTAGGTAGTGTTTTTTTTTTTTTTTTTTTTTTTTTTTTTTAAGTTCCCTGGGATATTTTAATGTCCTTCCGAGGTGCAAAACAACTGCTCTAAACAGTTATTTCCAGAGGGTCCCCAGTATCACTAGGAATGAAGGCTCCCTCCGGCCCCACCCTTGGGTCATAATTCACTTGACCTGGATATTCTATTTCTACCCTTTAGTCCTTGTTTGGTTTCAAGCTCCTGCTTTAATTCTTGTTTTGTTCTGTGGTTTATTTGGATCTCTTTATGCTCAAGTTCCCAAAAAAGAACTTCTACCTGTAATCCCAGCTGCTCGGGAGGCTGAGACAGGAAGATTGCAAGTTCAAGGCCAGTCTCAGTAAACTGAGTGAGGACGCCCTAAGCAACTCAGTGAGACCTTGTCTCAAAATGAAAAATAAAAAGGGTTGGCCACTGGGTTAAATCCCCAGCTACCCCCTGCCCCCATTCCCCCATTTTTTTTCCTAAAGGATTTTGGAGATAGAATTTAAATTACTCATTCCCTCTGTGTCTAATGTGCATACTCTGTGAAGTATAGTTGATTCACAACTGCTCACAACTTCAAGTGAATGACTTCATGGCCAAGAATGAAGATATAAGGAATTAAATCCTCAGTTTTGTCATAAACCTTGCATGCTATTTTTATTAGGGAAATTATCATTGAGAAACCAAATGTTGTTTCACTGGAAATACAAACTGTAATGACTAGGGAGAGGCAGAGACAAGAGCTATAAATGAAGGATCTGAGCTGCTTATTTCACATAAGGTTCCTAGTTCCTTGTGCAACCACATCAGTCTCTCCAAGAGCCAGGTAAGTTCTTCTTTTAGCTAACTTAAGACTTCTGTGTTTTGAGAATATGAATGTTTATCAATTTGAAAGAAGTACTTTTTATTGTGCACAGACTTTTCTTTAGGCGGTTTTATTTAATTCTGGCCTACATGACCATAACAACGTATCTTCCTCTTATTTTTTTTAACAATACTTTTATTTTATTTATTTATTTTTATGTGGTGCTGAGGATTGAACCCAGGGCCTCACATGTGCTAGATGAGCGCTGTACTGCTGAGCCACAATCCCAGCCCTCTTCATCTTGTTTAACCTAAATTAATTCATTTTATTTCTGAGTAAAACCTATGAGGAATTCCTATGGAAACCTGAGGTTGATATTGAAGACATAGCAGCTTTCATAGGATGCCTTAGCAGAGATAAACCTCTCAGCTTCCCAAAATATGTGCATTAATTTATTTTGCATTTATTTTATTCTTGTTTTYGGATTCTTCTTAAAGCCTTTGTTAAATAGTTATAAAGTTGTTGGTGATTAAGAAATGTAAAAAAAAAGCATGTTCTACTTTTCTATTAGAGAAATATTAGTTGATCTTTAGAAATTTTTATTATTTTTTTGTGCTGGGCATGGAGGTGCATGCATAATCCTATATTCAGGAAGCTGAGGCAGGAGGATCCCGAGTTTGAGCCCAACCTGGGAAACTTAGCRAGACCTTATCTCAAAAGAAAAATAAAAAGGGCAGAGTACCCTGGGAYTCCATCCCCAGTTCTGAAAAAAATAAGTGAGATAACAAAAGTAATATTTACCAAACAAGCCTGAAACTACACAGAAAAAAAAATCAAATAAAAAAAGAAAACCTCCCCACTCCACCTAATAATCCACTCCTAGAGATGTTTCATTGRCCTTCAGTGAAAATTTTACCCAGAGTCAAGTTTTCCTGGAGCTGGGGGTGGAGTTTAAGAGGATGCTGTTCTCTGGGCTGGATTCTGGCTCAGTGGAGAGACAGAAGCACCAGCCCCAGGCAGGAGTCCTGGCTTGGTTGTGGTCCAGGCTGCTTGGACTTGAGGCCAGTGGGATGCCTCTGCCTCCTGGACCCTGTGTGGCTGCCCAGGCCGGGCCTGGGAGGACAGAGCTGGGTTTGCCTGGAGAAGCCAAGCAGGAGGAGGGAGGAGGCGGTGGGTGGCAGAGCAGGCAGGTTCCGACAGAGAACAAGACAGAATTAAACCAYTAAGGCGTTAACTGCGAGCGACTAGATGGTGTCAGGCTCCAGATGACTCACATCTCCCATCAGGAGAGGCCAACAGAAGGGTAAGAAGGAGCCAGCCATGACCTGGACCCAGAGGGTGAAAATCCCCATTTTCTGGGTCAATGCAGGGAGAGGTCCCGTGGCACCCAGCAGTTCAATCCACTGACTGCTGTCGCTGTTCTAGATCTCACGGAAACCCAGACCGCCATGGAGTCACTCAGTGCCGCAAACATTCATCTGGGGCTTGATCTTCTCAAAGAAATGAGGAAAACGAACGATGGCAACATCTTCTTCTCCCCYGTGGGCATCTCAACTGCCATTGGCATGCTCCTCCTGGGGACCCGAGGAGCCACAGCCTCCCAGTTACAGAAGGTAGGGGCTGCCTTTGCTCTCCACGCACAGCTTGTGTCTGGGGACCCGCCTTTGAGAATCACCTTGCAAACAGGCTCATCTCGACCTGTAAGCCAGGAGCAGAGCCTGTGAAGACAGGGAGCAATTTCAGGTCCCTCAGGGAAGTTCTCTGCCCTCTCCAAATGCCATCAYGCCATCTGCCCCTGGATGCTTGACATTCCTTTGGGTGGGGGCTGCGTGAGTGGCCTGTCCAAGTCACTACTCTCATAATTCAAGATAGAACCTGAAAAGCAAAAGCTATKGGGAGCAGTGACATCATCACCACCTGACATAATGACACCAAAGACGAACGCAGGAACGAAGACGTGCAAAGGGTCAGGGGCAACCTAGACCTTCTTATGACCTTAGCAAGGGGGTCRATGTCACCTGTGTCCATGGAGGTCTTTTAAACAAGCATCCACTTTCCCCTGACTGATTGTYTGTGAGGTTTTCTCTGTTCTGATTCCTGCAATATTTTCTCCCTATCAGGTATTTTATTCTGAAAAAGACACCGAAATCTCCAGAAAAGAGGTTGAAGAAAAAGAGGTGGGACACATGCTTTATAATCGTCAGTTTGGTTACTTATGAGGTGTGGGATCCCTGGGGAAAAAGGCCTGGGAAAAGCATGAAAGAGGAAACATTTCACACTTATTATTATCAAGCCATAATAATCACTGTAGGTAAATGACGTTGCTAGCTGTATTCATCCATTTTCTGTGGTCATAACAAAATACCTGAGGCTGAATATGTTATAAAGAAAGGAATTTCTTTATTTAGCTCACAATTTTAGAAGCTGAAAGTCCACATTGGGGTGGCTCCATCTGTTTGGCTTCTAGTGACAACCCCTTCGATGCATTACAATGAGGTGGATAAGGAGAATAGAAACAGTTGCATGCAGAAAGGACCAAGTTTGCAGGCTGACCTTGCTTCATAATCACCCACTCTCAAGAGAACTAATTCGCTTTGTGAGACTAGCATTGATCTTTTCTGAGGGCAGTGCCTCAAGCAGTCTAACCACTTCTCACTGGGTCTCTTCAGTGTTCCACCACCTCTTAATATCACTAAGTTCACTAAGCCTTCAGCTCCTGAACTCCTAGGGGACAAACCACTTCAGAGCCAGCACTAGATCATACAACAACAATGAACACTTAGTGTTAAGAAGAAGCATTAATGAACAATGACCTCCGTGAGCYGAAGAGCCCTCAGAGCAGAATGGATGGGTTTTAGAATTAAACACGTTTGGGTTCAAGTGCTGGCCCAGGCACTTAAGAATTATGCTACTTTGAACAAGTCATTTATCTTCTTTGGCCCTCTGGGTAGTACCAGTAGAGGATCTGGAAAACACTGGTAACTCACCGGTGGTGGTGGTGGTAGTAGCAGGTGATACTATCACTGAATTTCGTTCATGTTTTGGAATTTCTGATATTTTATTTAAAAAAAAATATTAGCACAGGGCCATTGATCTCCTGGAGTCTCCTCCAGCTTCAGTGTTCTAGCGTGCCTTGCCCGGTCTGCCCAGGTATGGGGAAGGGATGGCGGCCATTAGGTCAGGGATGGTCAGAGCTATCAGGAGGGCACGCCTGCTCTGGTGGCAGTCGGTAGTCCAGCTCTGTGCCCTCTGGAAACGCCCTCACATCAGCAGCAGTAGGAGCTGTTCATCCCATAATCCCCAAAGGCTAGGTTGACTGTGTGGCTCGTTTGCAAGGACGGAGAGTCAGGCTTTCCTCCAGGGCTTGCTCCACAGGGTGAGGTCAGGCGGCTGACAGGCTGTGCACTCAGCTGAGGCCTGCAGTTGTTTCCAGAGCACATCCCCCCCACACCCCCAGCACCACCGTCCCTGGAGACCCTTTATGTCAATTAGGCAAAGACACGTTGCCTTGAGAGATGCCCCTCTCCATGGTGAAGGGCTTGGTGGCCGGTGGGAGTTGGATCCCAGGTTGGTGTGGACACAACCCATATGACCCCTTGAGGCAGCTCTGTCCCTTCTCCAGGATTATTTCGGGAGCCACAGAGGTATGTGGAAGAGTGGAATTGCTGATCGAAAGGATATTAGGACAGGAACACATCGTAGGGGCCATGGCTCTGATCTCTTGAATAGATGGAGAAACAGATAAGCAAAGTGATTTGCCCAGAGACAGGCTTGACTGTGCCATTTGATCACCACATGAAGTCGGAGTATTCTGAACCTTGCTTTCAAACACTGATGATAAAATCTGAAGACGTATTTACAAAGGCATAGGGAATGATCCAAGTAACACCCTCTAATTCCACCTCCCAGTATAAAAAACAGACTATTACTAAATTCCCTGGGGCCTCCTAAGTAMCTTCTCTGAGCACACCCCTGGTCTCCTGAGGGGGAGGGTGAATTAGGTGTTCATTATTCCCATATACTAGC